TACATGCGCCTTCAACTAGTCGTTGTACCAAGTTCAAAATTTCCGTGAACACTGCTTTTAGGAGTTCTTCGTACAACCCCTGCTAAATTCGCCGTTCGATAGTGTTTTGAACCTGCCACCAACTCGCTGGGATTGTTGACGAAACGCTAGAATCGCTGGCATACTGCCAAAATTGTTGGCGCGCCAGTAAATGCAAAGTCTGACATCTGCCTTACACTATCTCCGTCCCCAAGACCCCCCCCCCCCTTAAAATGAGAGCCAGGTATTAATACAACTATCCAAACGGCAACCTCCTACACACTTCCATTCACCAAAATTCTTCCTCTAAAGCCCCAAATACGGTCGCCATGAGAGCGACGGACAAGCGATCGCGATCGCTAATCGCTTCTCTGTCCTCGTTCAATCGCCGAGTCTGACGGACAATCAAGCGCACAAAAACGAACCTTTTCGTTGAACTTAGCACAACGGACGGTAGTTGCACATTTTAATACACGCACTGACTTTTCAGGTATCCTACTCTGAGTAGTGATTTGTCTAGCGACAGCCCAAGTGTGGCATCTCTCAGTAACCGGGGAACGGCTGGTACCTCGATTGATTTGTTGTGCTCTAGAAGTATTGCACCTTGTTTTTCATGTTTGAGGAAAATGGAATCTGCCATCTTCCAGTCTCGACACGGAGGTTGAGTGATGATGACGTAACTAGGAAGAGATGTCCTGTGGTAAATTTTTTCTTTGCTTCGTTAGGCTTCACCTCAGACTGAACTTGTCTAGTCATTTTGAGACGGTGGTGCTCTCTGCGAACAATGATTCCTAGTTTCACGGTTTTTAGGATGAGAGTACATCCCGGAGGTCGGCATTTTGTCGCATTTGTGAACTCCATGTCAAATCCACTCTTAGAAGAATGCATATATATTCGTAAGTTCACCATTGCATTGCTCCTGAACATACCATATTTCTAATTGGTTATTGTTCCTCCTTTCGTCTGTATTCTTCTATCTACATTTTATGCACGCCTTGCTTGTTTTTGATCCCTCGAGAGAATTGTCCAATTAGAGGTGTCACCTTCGGCGGCCACTGTACAGGTGTCCTATTTGCGATGTTTCTTCAACATATCACATCTCCAATATTCGGGTTCATATTAAGAAAGTCCACAACGTCATGGTTAGAACAGTTTTGTAAATTTTCCTTTGTTCTTCTTTACTCTACATTCCCTTCAAATCTTTTACTTTGCAGAGCGAGCCCATTTGCTTAAAGGAAGAATATGAGAACGAAGTGAACGCTTTCTTATACAGGTTACCCAAGCTGTTCTCACCATATTTTCTCGTTTAATGAATCTGGTGTTACCCAAGAAAGTGTTAGATAAGCCATGATTCTTATTTCAGTTGCTTCGGAGATCATCAAATTTTCCGGCGACAAGATCCAGATGTTGTAGCATGCCTTGTCGATATCCTTAACCACGTCAGTAACGGCTTACCGGCGTCCATGGCTTCGTTGGCAGGTTTGCTTTTGCATTTGTTTCCACAAGCATTTGCGCTAAGCTTTGTCAGGTTGTTGGTTGTTCATTTTGCATTTGATTAAACAGTTAGTTCTGTCTTCTTCTTCTGTCCTTTCTCAAAACCACATTCGTATTCATTTCGATATGGTGATGGCTGAACCCATAACACCACTTGCCCCGCCGTACCTGTCTACCGTAGCCAACCTTTTTCTGTATTTGTCTTTCTGATAACGGGAAAATCACCTGTTTGATGACGAATGTCGGTCCGTTTTGGGATTGAATCCCACTATCGAAAAGGATTCATGCCGCTTGCTATAATCTCCATGTCGTCCTTTGTTGAATCCTCGGCATTTTATGTCTATTCTGCTGTAATTGTTTTACACTGTATGCCAAACGAGGTTTTTAAGATGGAATCTTTATTTACTAGGCTAAGGCTAGCTGATAAAGATTCCATCTTAATAACCGTTTCGTCTTCTCCAAAGGCCTGGAGATTGTCTGATGCGCCCCGATTTGTTAGCTACTCGATTAACCGCTCGTGGGCTGGTGTCAGAGTCCGCGATCCGTCGCAGGTTTCGCTGATTTTCGCGATTTGCGCGATTCACGCGACGGGTCACGGAAATCACAAGTGCCCGATCAATACTGCAAGGTGTTCTCCAATCCTGCCGCCACTTCTGCTTGATAGTGATGGCTGAATGACGACTGCTCATGATTCCACTTGTTTCATATTCAGTGTTTCAAATGTTCACACACTTGCAATTTTTGCGATCCGTCGCAGGTTTCGCGCAAATCGCGCAAATCGCGTGAATCGCGCAAATCGCGAAAATCAGCGAAACCTGCGACGGATCGCGGACTCTGACACCAGCCGTAGCGTTTTTGACATCATAGAACGTCGAGAACACTACCGAAAACTCATTTACGAAATCTTAACTCGACGAAGATTCCACCGATGCGGAGCGTTAGCTCACGCTTTGTGTTAGTATGGCATCAATATAGCAATGAACCTCACTCTAGTCAGTGTCATATACGGCAAAAAATGAGGCCGGTTAATAAAGATCCCATCTTAAAAAACCTCGTTTGGCATACACTGTAAAAACAATCACAGCACAATAGCTAACTATAATGTTCTGTAAAACGATACCTAATAATTGTGTAGTGAATACTTGCTTTATAAATTGTCTAAGAATCACCAAGACTATTTAAGATAGTTTCAGGTTTCCGCTCCCGAAATGGTGGTAAAGGAAATCCAGATCCGTTTTCATCAGCAGCGAATTTTAGTGAGCACCCAACAATCTTAACTCGAAGCCAGTCCCGAAACACTTGTAGATTGTGCTTTGAGTCTAACGTGAAACATTTGGAGCGGCACGTTTTACAGGTAAATTTTACATGATAATGGTCTGTCTTTCATTACCACTTTTTTGATTTCAGCATCACATAAAACAGCCAATGTTCTTGTGTCCTTGCTGCAACTTCAGCAGCTGCTATTCATCAACGTCGGTCAAGGATCATATTAAGGTGAGTGCAGCTTTTCCAGAAAAAGCAATCTAAACGCGATGTCTCCGAATGAGATGAATTGATTCAGACTCGTCACAGCATGTTTGATCCCGTGCCGCTGGATGTGAGGGAAGAATACGTAGAACTCATTCAAACGGTTTACAACCAGTGTTTCGTTGACGAGACTAGTGTGCTGGTTAATAGGATTGCTTTCAAGCAGGTGCGGTTTTATTAATTCCAATTGGATAGAAGGTATATCCAATATGTTACAATTTTTTTTCTGCGCTTAGGTTTTCCCTTCTTCATAGATTGGTATGCAAACCCCACCATCCAGCATCCTTTTCACTTTCTTGATAATATCGGAAAACAACCCCGTTTATGAAGTATGATTGCATCCTCTTGTGATGTAGTTTCTAAGCATCGTAAGGAGGATCGACAAAGCGTTAATCAACCGTTCCTTTTTCAGTAATGTCGATGGGCAGTTACGTAGTGCTGGTGGTTACTCTAGTGAGTTCAAGCAGTCTGTATTCTCCAACATGTCATATGAATTCATTGTATCTTCATGAGCTTCATTTTGTGATAAACATTCTTCGGGTTGTGATGAAATGAAGTTTTGCAGAGATTCAAAGGGGGAAGGTTTGGCCTTTAAGCTTATTTTGGGGTGTAAAAGTACTCATACACATATTGTCATGCGGTCCTCGGGCAATACATAGTGCGCTATTGCTTATGCCACCCCTGATTTTTTCAGTTTTCCGACTTATTTGGAAATTTCGTAAATCGGCATAGCAACCATCGTTTTCGGCGTGTCGGAAAACTAAGAACGGTGTTGTTTGATTTTGGTTAACGCGTGGATTTGAATTGCTCTGTTCTTTTGAAGAAAATGGGCCGCGTCAATTGCTTATGCCATCCTAAAGTTTCTTCAGAATTTCTCATGTCTCTAACGCTATTCAGCTACGGTGTGCATGTAATACAAATGAGGAAATCCTTATAGCACATAAATGGTGGAGCATTTATAATCGATTAAGTTCGGAATATTAGCTCTTATACTGGACGATAGCAGTTTCGCTCGGAATCAAACAACGGAGGGCCGCTTGAAATGGAAACAGAGGTGCGACATGCTCTCATATCAACGAAAAAATGAACAAACACCGAAGCCCGTATGATGGGGTTTATGTTATCGCAAGTGTTTGGGGAGAAACTGGCAGATATGGTTTTCATACGAGCTCCTTCGTAGTAATATCATTGAAAATCGGCTCCCCCACTTTCTTCACGATTTGGGACGTGGCCACGGCGAGCGCGGACGAGTTGGTAGTGCCTTGGAACTGTACGGGTAGGTTTGAAAACACTTCATCAGCACAGTTCTAGGCACTATCAACTCGTCCGCGCTCGTCGCGGCCGCGTCCCAAACCGAAGAAACTGGGGGAGACCGAAGTTTTCAGAACACCACTTTCTTCACTAGTTTTTTAGCCAAAGTACGTATGAAGGTTGGTGATGGTCCTAATTATAGATATGGCATGATTTGCTTCATAATTTTTCGGGAATTCTAAAACGCCAACACGAAAAGCAAAAAAAGTCACTGTAAGAATTCAAACCACGGGCTACTTCACCACCCATTTTTTAATATGCAGAGGCCCACTCAAGAAAATGATACAGTTCTGTTGTCCGTGCATGTACCGTCTATACCATGCGAAAACCGTTTCGAGAAGGCTGGGCATTTAAGACCTTCCTCGTTAGTGCTGTATCCAGTACTTGACCACGACCTTCTAAGCCTACATCAATGAGCTCAAACAAGTCGGCTTTTTTTTTGAATTCTCTTTTTTGCGACTGACTGCTATACACGTTGTAGTTCTTTTTTAAAAGCCTGTTTTTTCCTCAGTATCTCATATATTATTCGAAAGAACCTTCCCTACCCTAATTCCCTCATTATGTGTTTCCTTTCGTTATATGATTTTGTGTTCTCACGTAAAAGGGTACCAACGAATGACAATGATGGCATAACCACAATCTGTCTCCCTCAAATGCCAAAAATTCAATCAGTGATGTGCTCATGACTGACCCCTTCGATCGGTCACTTTTTTTCGGATCATGCGGTTAAAAAAACTTCGGAGTATTCACTTTCATTATTACAAACCAGAACTTTTGGTGTGTGTTGTCTGGTGTGTGCGGTCACTGTGGATCGTTCGTCCGTCCGGACCGACCGTCACAAAATCAGGGGACGGAAGGGCCATAAACTTCGTGGGTGTTTATGTCGTGATCATTGATAAACCACAGTCGGGCTTATATAATGCATGATCGGACCTTACAAGGGAGGTCGTTCAGGGTGTGGGAAGCTTTTTCAAAACGGTTTTTTGCATGCTGTAGGGACTCTCACGTAGACCACAATACTGCGTTTCGTTTTCGCTGAGCGGCCCCCTGAAGGCCAAAAAATGGTCGAAAAAAATTCGTTAAGAAGGGGTGGTTTTTGCTGCCTTGGAGTGAAGTTTCGGACCTGTACAAACGACCACCTGCATTTTGAAGGGCGCCGATGAAGATAATATCGAAAACAACTCGAAATTCGCTCAAAATTGAAGCACTGTACGTGGTACTGCTGAAGAAAGTGTAGAGGTTTCATAGGCGTCGTCGGCACCCTACACATCGCAGCGAGCAGGTGGCCGAGTGGATAGCGTGGTGGACTGGGGTTGGCACGACTGTGTCAGGTCGAGTCGTCGTTCAAGACCCTGATCTACCCTCACATGCCAAATTTCAGGAAAAATCGAGGTTTTGACCTAACTTCGAAAAAGAGGGTGGCCATGGGCTACAGGTCGTCATGCACGCCAGGGGGCGACTTGAATACCAGTGCGGCGCCGAAATCAAGCGCAATGCCTTTTCGGCTCACGGGAACATCTTTCCATCATGTCGCAGTCCTTGAAATCGCTCCATCTATGGACACGCAGCATTGCGACTGGAAGAGCCGTGGACCCAATATACCACGTCTTGATGAAGGGGAGAATCTGCTGACTTTAAAATCATGGTGCTGTTGCCCATCTGGTGTCTCCCATTGTCCATTTAGCAGTGGAACTTCTGGTTATTTGAGAAGGATAACTGGGAACTCGTTTCCAGTTCACCGGCTGGAGGCAACTATGGGCTACTGACCTATCACTGGCCAATTTTTCGGATCCAGGTCAAATTCTCAATTTTCTCAAGAACTTCTGATTTAGGGAATATCGAGTGCCCTGATCACGAATATGACATTAATTTTTCCGATAGCTTCAATTTACGCTAGTTTGGCGCCGTTTGGCGCCTTTCTGGCGCTACAACTTTTTTCCACAGATTCTGGAAAAAGTTTGACTGCAGTTCTTGCTCATGGTCTTATGATGAGTACGATACCTAGTACTGGTGCTGGCGTTATTTTAAGGAAATTTCGAAGCTCCAACTAAAGTGCAAAAATTCTGTCATCAAGAGGGATTGAACCTTGGACCACTTCCCTACCAATTTTTTTGGCCTTCAGAAGGCCGCTCAGCGAAAATGAAACATAGTATTGTCGTCCCCGTGAGAGCCCCTACAGCATGCAAAAAACCGTTTTGAAAAAGCGCTCCACACCCTGAACGACCTCCCTTGTTAGTCTCATTCTACATGGTGCTGCCGTGGCAGCCGTACGAGCAGGGGGGGGGGGGAGAGAGAGAGTGGAGAGGGGTAGAGGAAGGGGCAGGAAAGGGGAGGCTGGAAGGGAGGGGGGACAGAGGAGGGGAGGGAAGGGGGAGAGGTGAAAGGGAGAGAACATGGCGCTGCTGTGCGCCATAGAGAAGGGGTATAAGGAGGTGTAACACATTCGGGTGTTAATGGAGTACATCATGTTGCCATTCCGTGGTTCCTCCCTACACTGGGATGCGCGCGATAACGGGCGGAGCAAAGCTAATTCATTTTATATTTGACGAAGTATGGTCAACCACCGATTTCTCGTTGAATAACAGTTTTCATAAAAGGAAGACACTTGTTGAATTGTCCTATAGCGGAATGTCGAGAAGAGCCGTGGAGCCAAGTTTTGGGTACATAACTTGATTTTCCAGAGGACCATAGCGTTTGAGTTAGTTGCATGTATGGCCAGTTTTCATTTACTTGGGATCCCACTTGCAAATCTGCAATCTAGTGAATTAACAGTGAATTAGAAGAACATTTCTATAAATTGGACAAGCCTTTTTTGAATGGTTTATGCGAAAACTTGGGCGGATGTGGTGTGTAGTGCAAGTTGGCACGCTCACCACGACAACAAATGTAACGTTCAGTATTAGGCTGATATTTACCGTAATCGGGACAGCGCGTCAAATGAGATGCATTGTCGGCGCGCGCACACAATCTACGTTGTACTTGACAACATAAGCATCCGCAATGCGCATTGGCACTGTATGGTAGTTCTGGGGCCGGGTGCAGCAAGCCCCGACGAGGGGATGGGTACCCATCCCCTCTCCCCAAGGTTGGGGATGCGTCCCCTCAGCGGGTGAGGGGATGCAAGCTCGACAAGGGTCCAAATCAGTTTTATCTCACGAGACAAAGATTATCTTAGCAGAAACATTACTTTTATCCGCATGGTAGTCAAGGTATTCTGGTAAAGGTATTCTATCTCCAGGTATAATTTCAATGCAGGTGACTGGTCTACAAACGGCAGGGGAGAAGCGCGAACACCATTTCGCATATTCCTCATCATGACGGTGCCGTGGACACCGGGCGAGCTTGGATGAGCAAGTTGGTATCATTCGATCGAGTGAAAGTCACGAACAATCAGCAAGAAAACGATGCGTTCTATGTGTCGTTCTATGGAAGAGGATGACTAGTCCTTCAATTTCTGATATGTAACTTTGTCGGGCTTATTGGCGCGTGCTCTTCTCATCCATAAACCAAAATATTTTGACAAACTCGACAAATGCATCACTGCTAATAGGACTGAACTTCATAATAAGGCGATGAGCGTTTTCCCATAGTGCAAAGGTTATTGTTTGCGTACTCAGTTTTGCCATTGGCCATTGAGCCGACAACCTTCTCGATATGGAAATTCCAAATAATACTCTGCTTCTCCTAGAAACTAGCAACAGCAAGCTTGTGAATTGGTTGATCCTTTTTTGAAATACGACTTCATTGGCTTTCTAACGAGTAATTTTTCGTTCTAAATTTGGCCTAATAGAGGAAAGGAATCAAGCCTTAACTTGGCGCTGTTTACAATGCTGCTAGTGGACTATACTAGTGTAGACGTCATTTCATTTGTTGGGATATATATGAAGATAAAAGGTGAGGAACTAGTTGAAGCGTCGACTAAATGCACGATACATTTCCAGAATCTTCCGAAAGCGTTTGCCGTCAAGTACAACGTAGATTGTGTGCGCGCGCCGATAATGCATCTCATTTGACGCGCTGTCCCGATTACGGTAACATCAGCCTAATGCTGAAGTTACATTCTTGTAACCACCACTACGAGCGGTCCGGGATCAAATCCTGGGT